GTTTAGTTGGAACCACCCGTTGCGCTTTGGGTTTCGACTTCTGTCAAAGGATTTTTATAGAATCTCGATAGATGAATCAATCTTGAAATGGAGGGGCAAGAGCCACGCCAAAACCAGCAATTGGTAATCGAGGGATTTTTGGAGGAAATAGTTTAAAGGCAACCTCATACCGTTTCTCACGAGGAACAAATGAGGGAATCTTTAAATTTTCCATTTTTTTAGAAAACTTTTCCCTTAAAGTGATAGCCGCCTCACGAATGGTCCGACTAACATCATCTGGTCGATAGTTGGTTTTGAAGTACTTCTGGAAGGCTTGAATATCTTTGATATGGGTAGACGTACCTTTCTTGATTTTCTCCTGCACATCAACGAAAGCTTGGTCAATCAAGCGAGTAAAGCTCGAAACAACAAGAAACTCTGAGGCATAATGTCTGGACCACCAGTTGTAGAAATCTGGGGAGCAGAAGTAGGAAGGTTCAAAATAAACAGGTGTAAGAAGAGATTTGTGGGCATGGCGCGCCAGTTATGTTGAGCAGTCTAGGGGATTAACAATGGTGAGAGGGAGTATAACGTGTGATTTCTGATCATACAAACATTTGGTTAAAGTTTGTATTAACCCAAATTGCCGTGATACCAAGTTTGGCTGGTAGGCTACCAAGGTAGCTTGTCCCATGACGAGGTTGAGTTTATGAACTAACAGTCGAGGTGTGAGGAATCGATCCCAAATCAGTTTCGATTCATCTTCATGTCTCTTTAGCGGAGAAGGGAAGGGTCTGGTGAACCATTCAGGACCATACTTCCTTTCTGCAAATGGAGCCATTCTTAAGGTGAACTCGTGACGTTTGGTGAACATATGGTTGAAGTTGGAAAGGTTGGCTCAAAGCGTGTGTCCTTCTTCGCTTGGAGTGGTTTGAACCCAGCGGGGCCATTCGACCCGTCTCTCAGAAACAGAAGACGAACCCTCGTCGACTTCTCCTTTGTTGGGAAGGCTACTTTTGAAAGTAGCGTTGAGCCACAATTGGAGTAGCCAGAAGGGACCTGACATTAGCAGGTTGCCATGACTTTCTGGGTCCTTTAGCTTACCAGCAACTTCGCCCAAGGCTTCATAGAGAATGGCCAGAATCATCTCGCTCAAGCAAATGCCTCTTTTCAGATGTAGCTGGTTCGCCAAAACAAGATATTTACGTGCCACCTGCAAAGATTTAGTACAGAATACGCAGCGAGACAGCCACATGGCTAAGAAGGCTATATGCTCTTCATCTTCGATAGAAGTAGTGTTTTTATTGTGATAATGTTGGACGAAGGCTTTGTAGGTGTGCTTTGTAGTTACAAATCCTATAGTATCTTGATTATCTATTTCAGGGTTATAAACTAGTCCATGGGGTTTTAGTCCTACAATGGCGGCTATATCAAATAATATGGGTGTCATCATCCCACACGGAAGGTGGAAAGTGTGATGGGTGCTGTCCCAAAAATACAAAGAGGAAGCCGGCAAAGGGGACAATAATTGGGGCCGACTTTCAACATCATTATGAGGTCATAGATACCAGTTTCTTTCCAGTCCTGGGCTTTCAATTTTTCCAATTTTTCTAACCAGTTGAGGTAAAGTTCAGAGTCCTTGAAATAAGGGGTGGCTCTAAATAACCTAGCTCCATCATGGAGATACCTAAGGTCTACGTCGAAGGAAGCTAGACTACTAGGACCATCAGCGGGAACCCTGCTAGAATCCTTTTGCCCTAAGGGTTTGGTTAGTCTGTAAGAAGGGAAGAAGTCACGGATACTGGAATAATCAAGACCTAAAGGAGGCAATGGGCCAGACATTGCTAAAGGTTTACCTGCAACATTAACATGGATGATTACCTGTGTTTCATAGATATGGCGTTTTTCCTCCAACAGGGGTTCACGAATAAATTGTTGATTCTTCACTACTTTAGGACCGCTCAAGGTGGCGAACAGAGGGAGAACTGATGTAAAATATGGCCCTTTGGGTTGTGCCTTTTTCTTCTGGTGCTCAACCATTGTTGAAGTCAGAAGTGTTCTTAGGAGAAAGAGGATATCTGAAGAAAAAAAAGCGAAAGAGTTTTTGCTGGGAGATGGAAATGTTAAAATAATACCTGAGGAAATTATTTATATGGAGTATTGAAAATCAAGAGTTTTTTTAATCATAAGTGGCTAGGGTTAGAGGGCCACGTGTGTGTTATAAGGTGGAGAAACAGGGGTGACAGTTATAACCTATACCCCCTAGGCTCTAAAAGAATGATGATGGTCTGCGATTTTGGTGATTCCCGAGAAACCTGCCATGATGACCATGATGTCAGGAACGTACTCCAAGGTGACGGAGCAGTTTCTTGCGTGTTCTTTTATGTTTTCTTCTTTCTTCTCCTTTCATCTTCCCAGACATTAGTTGGCCAAAGTGTATTGTTTGACACCTGCAAGTTGAAGTAAACGGCGTCGAATTCGATGCTGTAAAAAAATGTGCTTTTCTAGGTAGGGGTCGAAAAGACATTTTTTGGGGGGCAATTTGTTAGCTCCTAAATTCGACACCCCTTGCAAGTTAAGACATTTAAGAGAAAGTATTAGAATCTTGCTGAAAGTGAGAGCTGGTCAAAAAGTATAAGACCTTTGAGGAAGAGGAGTCGAAACACTTGCAAGACTTAAGGAAAATCATGAAGGCTTCGACCGCGACGCTGCTTGGTAGTTATCCTAAAGATTTGAAATTCAAAAAAATTGGAGGGAGTGGTTTCGTTCGCTGGATGACTAAGAGGACATGTGGCGCCCTGTGGGTGACGGGCCCATGCATCACGATAAGTGGTGGAAGATGATGATGTAGGAAGTTATTGTAGTTATTTTTTACTATTATAAATATGAAGTCTTAGACATAGAATTCGTGTGTTGTAATTTACTATTGTACAAGTCACTCTTAAAATTACTCCAAGTATCTGAGTGTAGAGAAAAAGAGTATCAAAGAGAATGTATGTGATGTAAACACACCATCCTTTACTTTCCAATGAAGTTTATTTTACTTGTTTAAACTTTACGAAGCTTTCTTTATCTTTCTTGCAATCTTCCCCCCTCTCTATGCATTTTATTTCGTCTTCATTCTCAACCCTTTTTCTAAAGCTTTTATCTTTTCCTCGCTGAAAACTTTATCTTCTTTTTCTCTTATAGTCGAATAGATACTTTTTAGAATATTTCACTCCAATATTGTCAAAGTGTGAAACTTAGATAGATTCCCAAAGAAAACCTTTTTAGCACATGTCCTAGGATCAATCTGATCGATCCTGTGAGTCACCAAAGTTAGATTTGGAAGATCAGCGGTTGTTTTCCAGTTTTCAAGGGAAACAGGGGGTGGCTCTGAATAACCTGGGTCTATCATTAAGGTATTTTAGGTCTACATTGTAGAGTGCTAAATTATCTGGGCCCTCAGTAGGAAGTTTGCTGGAATCTTTTTGCCCTAAGGGTTTGGTTTTACGATAGGAAGGAAAAAGTTCACTAAGATTGGAGTAGTTGAGACCCAATGGCGACAACAGACCAGACATAGCCAAAGGTTTACCTGCAACAGTAACATGAATTATTACCTGTGATTCGTATATGTGCCTCTTCTCTTCTAGTAGGGGTTCAGGGATGATCTGTTGATTCTTCACTATGTTTGGTCCACTCAATGTGGCGAAAGAAGGAAGGAGCGGTGCAGCTGACTGCCATTTGATTTATGTCTTCTTCTTTTAAGCCTGGTATCCAGCCATAGATGATGCCATTGATGAATTTCGGGGAGGAAATGGGTTTTTGAGAGTTAGAAGATGTCTGAAAAAATACGTGAGTATTTGTTGAAGAGTGGGAAAGTTGGAAATTATTTTGTGAAGAACTATTTATAGGATGTTTGGAGATCAAAAGGTTTTTTTCATCATTAGTGGCTAGAGATAATGGGCCACGTGTTGTCCCAAGATAAAGAGATGGGGTGGTGGCAGTTACTACCTATACCCATGATTGTCTTAGGCCCTAAAAAGAATGATGATGGTCTGAGGATTTTTATGAGTTCCAAGAAATACGCCATAATGACCCATGACGTCAAGGACGTGCACGGGGATAGTGGAACAATTTCTTGCTTTTTCATTCTTCTTTCTTCTCTTGTCTTCCCAGACTCAGGTAGTCAATCACATTGATGCTTGTGTGAAAGTTGAAACGACGACGTCGAATTGGACGCTGTCAAAAAATGGTTCTTTTTCTACATAAAGGTCGAAAAAAACATTTTTGAGGGTAAATTTGTTAGCTCACAAATTCGACGCCACACATACACACACACACACACACACACACACACACACACACACACACACACACACACACACACACACACACACACACACACACACACACACACACACACACATATATATATATATATATATATATATATATATATATATATATATATATATATATATATATATATATATATATATATATATATATATATATATATATATATATATATATAGAAATTGATACCAAAGATTGTTATTAGCGGAAGCAGGATCGAGTTATTGTAAAGAAAAGAAGATTGTAGAGACAATATTGTAAGAAAATTATAACTTGTTATTCAAAAGGTGTGTTTACAAATTAAACTAAAACCCTTTATATAGGGAAGAAAAGGCTTACTATTTAAGCCGGTAACCACTACTTACAATAGCTGGTAAACTAAAACACAACTTGTAAAATTATTGTCGGGTACTCTTTGGGCCCCATCGACACAATAATTAACAAGAAACAAAAAACAAAAGAAATAAAAATGCATGTCTAGAAATTCTAAAGACAAGATAAGATTCTTATTCCCTTGTCTTTTACAAAAGAAAGAAAATACATACAATTATGCCTAAAAATTTTAAAGACAAGATAAGATTCCTTTGTCTTTGCCCTTGGAAAAGATTATTTCTTTATTATTTCTTGTCCTCTAGCCTTTGTCTATTGATTCTTACTTCATTGTTTCTAGACAAGATATCAATTTAATTTTTTGCTTTTCTTATTTCTTTCATAGATGAAATCATTGCATCCCAAAAATCTTCTGCAGTAGGTTCCTCCGCTTGACCTTCTCTTGCTAAACCATCAAAATTATGGGAATCCATTGATCCCATGGAAGAGCTTGTCTTCATAGATGAATCTTCCTCTTTTGATGCTTTTGTTGGAAAAGTAGAGAAGAATTGGTTCTTCATATGATCCAAAATTCTAACCATGATTTCATCTTCTATTTCATTGGGATATTTTCTCTGGAAGAAGTTCTTCAAGTTTTCCATAGACATTTATTGGGAGCTTTGCTCCTTGACCTTATTATTCTGGTCTTCAACTATAGCTTCTTGAATTTATTTTATTTTATTCTGGACATCCTTTGAGCTCATCTTGTTCCACCATTTATAGAAGAAATTTCTTTCTAAAATGGGAATGTTGAATTTGTTCTTTGATATGGTGATTGGCCATCTCCATATCCATGGAATCTGAAATTTAGTAAAGAACAATAATGGACATTGTCCAGTGATTAAATTATCAGATAAATTTTTTACAATAAGTGGACTATTATCACACCATGGATTGTATAAGTTAAGAATTTCTTTAGGAAGAATCTCCAAAGATGGACCAAATTTAGCCCACCATTCATAAAACCAATTTGGTATGGGTTTATTAACCATCTCTTGATTAATAGAGAAAAACCAAGAATGCTTGTTCTTGGGATTTTGGTAATAAAAAGCTTGAGTGAAAGCTTGGACATAGTCCCAATAATTAAAGTAAATATACTTTCCTTCTGCAATTCTTATTGCCTTTTCAGCATTTGGGGTGAGACCCCATTCTCTTGGTAACAAAATTTTGTTAATGTGACATTTACTGAAGTTTATAAAACTTTCAGGATTATTGTTTTGGTAATGGTGAGTAATTGTTACCGATTCGGTAACAGTCGGGAGAATTTCTAGGTTGTGCCTAGATTTTCCATGAAGACCTGGATATCCTCTTGATTCGAGGTATCTAGTTTTGATAGACCAACCATCATTTGGATTTATCTTAATACCTTCATCATCAATATACATGATTTTCTCAGTTACTGGATTTTCAAAATAATCCATTTGTTCTTGAGGTGGATTATTAACCGCAACTTCCTTGAAAGATGTAGTTTTATTAGAGGAAGAGGAAGCAATATCTTCCTTTTTTGCTGAAGATGCAGGTAATTGTTGCATTTTTCTGCCTTTGTAGACAGTATTCCAATCCCCTATTAGAGGAATGTTTGATTCTGGCTGGGGTAACATATTGATACTCACTCTCCCACCACGGCCATAACCGCGGCCTCTACCCCTATATGGGGTCATCATTTTTTCCCTGCAAAAATTCATGAGTTAAATAATCAGCAAGTGAATTATTTTCACCTTTAATGTGTTGAATATCAAATTCAAACATAGATAATTGTGATTGCCAACTAGCAGAAATTGTCTTAGCAACAAGATTTTAACATCTTTTTCAATAATTGATTTAGCTGAGCTACAATCAATTTTTAATAAATTTTTTTTATTAAGAAGATCATCTTGAAAATTTGAAATTCATTTTATAATAGAAAGCATGTCTTTCTTGATAGTTGAATATTTTTCTTGTGTTGGATTCCATTTTCCAGACGTAAATCTAACCAAAACTTCTTTTGATGTTTCAGGTATTATTTGTTTAAGGATTCCTCCATAGCCTATGTCTGAAGCATCAGTTTCAACAATTTTGAAATATTTAGGATTAGCAAGAGATAAACAAGACAAAGATTTCAAAATATTCTCAGGCAGTCCAAAGAATTAAAGATAAGGTGAAATGTTTGTCTTGTTTATCTCTTGCTAATCCTAAATATTTCAAAATTGTTGACACTGATGCTTCAGACATAGGCTATGGAGGAATCCTTAAACAATTAATACCTGAAACATCAAAAGAAGTTTTGGTTAGATTTACTTCTGGAAAATGGAATCCAACACAAGCAAAATATTCAACTATCAAAAAAGAGATGCTTTCTATTATAAAATGCATTTCAAAAATTCAAGATGATCTTCTTAATAAAAATTTTTTATTAAAAATTGATTGTAGCTCAGCTAAATCAATTATTGAAAAACATGTTAAAAATCTTGTTGCTAAGCAAATTTTTGCTAGTTGGCAATCACAATTATCTATGTTTGAATTTGATATTCAACACATTAAAGGTGAAAATAATTCACTTGCTGATTATTTAACTCGTGAATTTTTACAGGGAAAAAATGATGACCCCATATAGGGGTAGAGGCCGCTGTTATGGCCGTGGTGGGAGAGGGTGTAACAATATGTTACCCCAGCCAGAATCAAACATTCCTCTAATAGGGGATTGGACTACTGTCTACAAAGGTAGAAAAATGTAGCAATTACCTGCATCAGCAAAAAAGGAAGATATTGCTTCCTCTTCCTCTAATAAAACTACATCCTACAAGGAAGTTGCGGTTAATAACCCACCTCAAGAACAAATGGATTATTTTGAAAATCCTGTAACTGAAAAAATCATGTATATTGATGATGAAGATATGAAGATAAATCCAAATGATGGTTGGTCTATCAAAACTAGATACCTCAAATCAAGAGGATATCCAGGTCTTCATGGAAAATCTAGGCCCAACCTAGAAATTCTCCTGACTATTACCGAATCGGTAACAATTACTCACCATTACCAAAACAATAATCCTAAAAGTTTTATAAACTTCAGTAAATGTCACATTAACAAAATTGTTACCAAGAGAATGGGGTCTCAACCCAAATGCTGAAAAGGCAATAAGAATTGTACAAGGAAAGTATATTTACTTTAATTATTGGGACTATGTCCAAGCTTTCACTCAAGCTTTTTATTACCAAAATCCCAAGAACAAGCATTCTTGGTTTTTCTCTATTAATCAAGAGATGGTTAATAAACCCATACCAAATTGGTTTTATGAATGGTGGGCTAAATTTGGTCCATCTTTGGAGATTCTTCCTAAAGAAATTCTTAACTTATACAATCCATGGTGTGATAATAGTCCACTTATTGTAAAAAATTTATCTGATAATTTAATCACTGGACAATGTCCATTGTTGTTCTTTACTAAATTTCAAATTCCATGGATATGGAGATGGTCAATCACCATATCAAAGAACAAATTCAACATTCCCATTTTAGAAAGAAATTTCTTCTATAAATGGTGGAACAAGATGAGCTCAGAGGATGTCCAGAATAAAATAAAATTAATTCAAGAAGCTATAGCTGAAGACCAGAATAATAAGGTCAAGGAGCAAAGCTCCCAACAAATGTCTATGGAAAACTTGAAGAACTTCTTCCAGAGGAAATATCCCAATGAAACAGAAGATGAAATCATGGTTACAATTTTGGATCATATGAAGAACCAATTCTTCTTTACTTTTCCAACAAAAGAATCAAAAGATGAAGATTCATCTATGAAGACAAGCTCTTCCATGGGATCAATGGATTCCTATAATTTTGATGGTTTAGCCGGAGAAGGTCAAGCGAAGGAACCTACTGCAAAAGATTTTTGGGATGCAATAATTTCATCTATGAAAGAAATAAGAAAAGCAAAAAATTAAATTGATATCTTGTCTAGAAACAATGAAGTAAGAATCAATAGACAAATGCTAGAGGACAAGAAATAATAAAGAAAGAATCTTTTCCAAAGCCAAAGACAAAGGAATCTTATCTTGTCTTTAAAATTTTTAGGCATAATTGTATGCATTTTCTTTCTTTTGTAAAAGACAAGGGAATAAGAATCTTATCTTGTCTTTAGAATTTCTAGGCATGCATTTTTATTTCTTTTGTTTTTTGTTTCTTGTTAATTATTGTGTCGATGGGGCCCAAAGAGTACCCGGCAATAATTTTACAAGTTTTGTTTTAGTTTACCGGCTATTGTAAGTAGTGGTTACCGGCTTAAATAGTAAGCCTTTTCTTCCCTATATAAAGGGATTTCAGTTTACTTTGTAAACACACCTTTGAATAACAAGTTATAATTTTCTTACAATATTATCTCTACAATCTTCTATACTCCTCTTTTCTTTACCATAACCCGATCCTGCTTCCGCTAATAACACTCTTTGGTATCAGAGCCAAATATAGAGTAAGAGATTGAGTAGTTTTATCAAAATATTTAGTGGGAATTATTCCTTCTTGAAGGCAGTTTAAATCAGCTCCACTATCAATAAGGGCAACTTCATTTTCTAATATGAAATTTCTATTAATAACTAATGTTATTCTAACAAACCATTTTTGAGAAGTTACTCTATCATGAGAGAAAGGAATCTATCACTAGGTGAAGGATTACTAGTGGAAGTTATTTCTTCAATTTTTGAATTATTGGACTCTAAGAAAGTGAGACTTTGAGATAAATCATAGTTTTCCTTTTTAATTTGAGCTATCTCATTTTTTAAGAGATTTATTTCTCTATTTAAATCCATAATACAAACAGGAGTTTCACGAATGTTAGACTGTCTAAATCTAGATAAAACCTCACTTAATTGGTAAGGTGCTTCTGTAATAATAGGAGATTCTCTTTTAGAGTTTTCTTGGATTAGAACCTCAAGCAGTTTTCTTTTAAGATTTTTATCAGAAATGGACTCTATAGCCTTTATAGCTTCATTCTGTTCTGAGGTTAAAAGATTTAACCCATTCATATCCACTATTGATTTCCAGTAATCTAATTGATTATATTGACAATTATTATTGTTAGGTGATTCAGATGAGTAATCAGAAGAAGATTCATAAATCATATTAATATCTTCTTCAGAAGAGTAATCTTCAGAATCAGATTTGAGAAGTAAAACTTTCTCTAATTGAGAACGTAATTGTTCATCTTCTATTTCGTTAAGAGCTTTTTTAGTCCAGCATTGGTTGGCATAATGGCCAGGTTTGCCACATTTATGACATGTTATGTCAAGCTTTTTGGCTTTTCTTTTACCTTTAGGGTCAAAAGATTTTTCTTTAGGTCTACTCTTATTGTAATGACCCCTTTTCTTATTCTTATAAGAATTTTTATAAGAATTTTTTGGCTTATCCCTATAAGGTTTATTACGGAAAAGTTTTCCTTTTTTCTTTTTATTATCTGGAGATTTTCCAAGATCAAAAGCAAATTGTTCGCAAAATTCACCAAGTTGGTATTTCTCAGAAAGCTTTTGCTTTTTAAGTTGATTTCTAAGCTTTATGTCATTACATAAAGTTAATCCTTCATTAACACAAGTACTAATTATTTGACCATAAGTAAGGTCAGAATAATTTATATTTATTCCGTCATTTTTTTGTCTTAAAGATTGTCTAACCTTTTCAGAAAAGAAATGGGGTAATCCATCAATAAATTTTGCTTTCCAGTGCAAAAAATTGGGATTGTTTAATTGATAAACTCTTGAGCGAAAAGTATCCTTATACCATCTAAAGTGGGTAAGAGAAGGACACCTAAGGTTTTGGAGAACTGTCTGGATTTTCTCTCCAATGGGGACATTGGTTCCTACAAAATGTTGTAAGATGGAAAGACACAGTGTATACACTGCATCTTCTTCTCCTGTAGTGGTCGTAGCCACAATAGTGCTCCTACCAGTTCTTGGTTCGTTCTTAACGATTTTTTTGTGATTAAGAATCTCTAATTTTTGACATTCAGTGAGATAATGATCCCACCAGCCTCTAAGTTGGCTGACAAATCCTGTTTTTATAAAGGATGCTATTGAACTATCGGAATTTCCATGTTGCTTGCAAACAGTAGGGTACATGATCATCCTATAGATTGTATCTATAATTTGTTTGTCATTAAGACCATAAACATTCCATTCATAAATGGTTTTTCCTGAATAAGAATTCTGGAAAGGTTCTGATTCCTCAAAAAGCAAATCTTGCAGTGAGGGACGCTTGTAATAATACTTTTCTATAGGTCTTGGGGAATAAACAGGGTTTATACTATTAGTATTATTAATACTATTAGTATTATTAATATCAAGGTTACTAATGTCTAAAGTAGCAAACATATCAGAATGCTGATCAAATGGTCATCATTATTATCTTCAGAATACTCTTCATGGGACATGACAGTGATATTAAGTCCTTTTAATTTTTTTTCTAAAATACGAACAAATTCTTCTCCATTGGTTTCCATTTTAAATCCTTCTATGGAAACAGGAGGTTGCACTATAGGAACATCCGAAATAGTGGATGTGGATATTTGGTCCTTAGGTTTATTGATGTGGTCAATAATGATATCTTGACGCTCTATTTGTTTTTCTAAAAGATCTTTTATGGATAAGAGATCTTTTTCCATGGAGATAAATTGTTCTCCTAAGCAAACAAGGTAAGCAT